CCCCCCCCCCCCCCCAGTGTTCCTGGGCCCTAGCTTTCGTGTTCTTCCCCCGCAAAAATTATCAAATGCCGGCCAACAGTCTAGGGTTGTAGGCCATCAAAAGATTATATCTATAACAAGACATTATTTACACTATGGCCCTGGAAAGGTTAAGAAGTTTGTTACAGGCACAAGTGCCATATTTACAAATGTTAATGTAAACATTATTCTGGCCAGATCAAGTTTTGTTTGAAAACAAGCATTAGAAATTTCTTATATTACCCCAAACAATTTTTGGTTTGTGAATTGAATATTTTTACTTTAATAAAAAACATCTTAGGTTTTAAGAATTCTGCATGATATCAGAACTAAAATTCACTCTATATTTATTGATACATTAAAAAAAAACAACAAACAAATTATAGAGGCAAAACATCCAGGAAAGGTCAAAATTTTTTTGAAAACAAGCCAGAAAAAAAATTAAACAAGTCCAAACCTCAGTTTATGAATAAAACGCTTTGATCTTTACAAACAATCTAACGACTTAAAATTGTTGATATTTTAATTGCAAATGGTTTTCATTTTTTTCATGATCCTTAAAAAAATATACGCAAATTCATTTAAATTTGATAGCAAAAACCCCCAATAGATTTTGGTTAACCTTTGTGTGAATAAAAAGTTTTGCAAATTACGGTTGGCTGTTGCATAATAGTTTCAGCCACAAATTAAAAAAACTTGTTTCGTAAATATAAAACAATGCCGTTCATTTGCCAAAACCTCTGCCACTTTTGGGGTTTTCGAATGCAATCTAATGACTTTACACCGTGGAAAAATGCCATTTCTGATCGATTTCACACGCGTTCCCAGAACACCTAATTGCCCACGTTCTAATTCGCTTGGAACGTTCGAATTGCAGTTTCGAACGTTCGAATTCTCGTTTAGAACGTTGCAAAAAAATTCCGAGTTTTTAAACCGTGAAACACCGCGCAATATTAATGCGGCAAAAATATATGAAAAACTAATTGCCTTAATGAAATTCAGCCGTTGTGATATAGTCTGGCTAGCCGGCGATCTTTCGTTGCAAAATGCAAAGGGTATCGCATTGACTTTCAGGCCATAAATGGTCTATCTATCTGCTTGTTCGATTTCGCTTCGAACGCTGCGAAAAATAACAATTAACGCTCGAAAGAATGCTGCGAGTTATTCTAATGAATTTCAATGGCTTTCTGTGTGAAATCGACAAGCGAAAAGCGAAATAATTGCAACAAAGCCTTAATGAATGCAATGCTATGGTGATTAATAGCGAATGCAAGGTCATTTCGGATTCGTAATGCGTCTAATGAATCAAAGCGCTGTTTTGCAAAGCTTTATTTACTGTGTGCAAACGAAATCTCGCTTTTTCGCTGCGCTGGACCTCAGAACGATCGATTAAAAACGACAATATAAGTTGCGAGCCACGGAAGTTCCATATTTAATTGCGTATTAATATTAAGTATCGTCGATTTGCTATTTTCCGTGCAATTGCACGGCATTTAAAGACCAAAACTCGCGGTTTTAAAAAATTTCATGTCCGCCAGGGAAAAGCCATTTGAGTGCAAACTAAAAATCGTTCTAAAATATTCTGCAATATAATTTGCAACATTCGCACGCCATCTGCAAGCGAACGGCGTTTTTATATTAACGCGTATATAAAATTGAAAAATTTCCATCAAAGCCTCAGATATGCAGGTGATATTAACAATAAAATTGCAAATGAGTTATGTACAACAGCGCTTTGGAGAAAATAAGATATATAAAACACAAAAATTGCATTTTATGCCCGTGTGTTCCACATTCCGAAATTGCGACAAATGAATGTCTCTGAACTAAAGAATGTAGCAAATATGAGGTCTAATTGATGTTTTGGTCTGTTGCATACGATAAAAATACAGGATTTTTAGAAAATACTTTGATTTAAGAGTATGTTTGATCAAGCTGAAATCGGGCAAACTGTTCATAGTGTATTTATTTAGGTTTTTACATAAAATCGCGTGCACAATTCCACGTCAAAAATTTTTTTTTCACTTGATTCGCATCGATTCGCAATCCGTGTCAAATTTATGACAAATCGCAATTACGACAACGAAAGTAATACTATAGCCGACTGTCTATGCAGTTTAAAGCACAAAATACCGCAGAATTTTTTTTTCTAAAGGTTTACGATTCGAATCTATTGATTTCAAAACTCAACAACGATCGATAATTCTGTGCTACGAATCTCTGATTCTAACGGCTTGATTATAAAAAAATGTTAAAGTAGAAAATTGAAAACTATGCTTATTAAAAGCCTAACACACTCAATTGACTGTGACATATGCATAAACGATGAAATATTACAAAAATCTCTCTTACCTTGGCTTGAAAATTTAGCACAGGTAACGAGGTTCTTCGTCGACTTGTATTACTTGCGGTATTCGAAGTTCGGCGATTTTTGAGAGCACTTTTACTAGCCGCTAATGAAGCTTTGGCCTCGATTTCTGACGGTTTCTCGGTCGAGGGTAAAATTACCAATCTTGTTAAAAAATCACCGGCAAACGCAGCCAAATTTATAAAAATGTATCTTAGAAGTCCATGGCTTTCTCCTGCAATCGATTTGTCAAAGATGTTTGTAATCAACAGGCAAACTGCAAAAATATATGAGCCTTCCCCCTGGCTTTCAGGAAACACATATAACACGGAGAAAATAATTACTACAACCAATGAAATATAAGTTGTAATACGACTGGAATCAGCATAAAAGTATCTCAGGACTTGAACCAGTAGTTCTGTCAGTAAAAACACAGGCATTATCCATAGCGATGCCTTAGAATCCAAATATTTTTGCACTGTTATACTGCACCAGTAAAATAGGGAAGCGGTTGTTAAACCAGGCAGCAAAACTCGACTTGATACTTTGAGCAATGAACAAGATCCAAGCAAAATGTTTTCGGGGATCGTAGCAAATATCAAGCCACAAAGAATGCCAGATAATAGGATGACTCCCAGTTCACGTTGGGAAAGCTTTATACATCCCTGATACACTGATTTTATATGTATATCACAGTCTGATTTCTCCGAACGGCTCTCCAAAGTTTGTAGCAACATCGTCGCGTAGCCGTTGGCAGCATTATTCGACTTTACACTATTCGCGGCTGTTTGTCCTGTTCTATCTTTATCCACTAAACCGCCGTCCATTTTAAATGCTCTCCGTCCTCCTAAGGCATTCGCGTTAACTCTTCTTCGTTTTCTTCCCAAAATTGTCTACATGTCGCTATAAAATCGCACACAAACTAAACTGCTTCGTCCATAAGTTTCACGGCACAACAATCAATCGTCTTCGTTCGGCTTTTCATAACCCGCTAAGTTTCACGGGGAGGGTATGTTATGCCGGGGGTTTTCAACCGGGCGGGTATTGATACCCTCTAGGAGATTGCCGAGGAAAATGTGTTACAAAGTTGTTGGGGCGAGAGTTTTTATTCTAAATAATAAATTCGCCCATTTGTGTATACATTTTGTTTACAGTATTAGTTCAAACGAAGAAAATAGAACAAAAAAGTTATCCATATATCGCGAGATCAGTTTATTACGGTATATTTATTTCAGTTACATATTGGGAGATCAGTTTATTAGAGTATATGTGTTCAGTGTATACATGCGTGTCTGGGGGTCAAGATTTGGTTTCAAGAAGATTGGCAGTTTTTCTGAAGGTAGCGTTCGCCGTTCCAGTATCGAGTCAGTCAATTACAGTATATGTCCCTATATCTATTCTGTGGTATATGTATTCAGTTATATACGGTGAGATCAGTTTACAATCACCCATGATACACCGCGACAGGAAGAAGTCACAAATGCAAAGTTGTCGATTTCACAACATGCGGTCGAGGCAAAAACGTTCGATCCTTGCTTCGAATTCAATCGAGGCTTGAAATTTCAAATATTTTCCACCAAAAGGAGTCTCGATTTCAAGATTCGACCAAAACAATTCGTGATCGCGGCATATTCAAATGTCCTGGCTTGAATTTCGACAATAAAGACATGATAGAAGGCGAATATACCGAAACGCACTCAAATTCGGCCATTGTCGACGAAAATTCCAGTCAAATGGAAGCGAAAAACAGTATTTTGGCTGAAACAAACATTGAAACAGAGTCGACGAGTCAACTAGAAGTTAATACTAGCACTGTGTTGATCGAAGACAGTATAGAAATACAATCGAAAACAAGCCCAAATCAAACTGGAGAAATATGCGAAAATCCCACGGAGTTGAACACTACAGTTTTAAGTACAAAAGAATTGGTATATAGTGCAAATACAAGTACTATATTGTCTTTGAGTGAAAGCGATGCTTTAAATTCAGACGATGGACCGATCGTGCCTGCTATCAGTGCTATGAGCGCAAACAATGTGAAATTTGAAACGCAATCTGTTTCATCGACCACTGATAGTGGTTTACTAGAAGGATTTATAAACACGTCGCAAAAAGATGAGCTTTCAGTGGAAAATATAGAGAATACTGTTTTGGATAGAGAGAATCGTGACCAAATAGATGATAGAGGTACTGAAAATATCGACGACAATCTTATGGTGACCGAATCTGAAGACATAACTCAGGAGGATTTAGGTGACCTACCTCTCTGGGCGGCTCAGCTCAAGGGGTGCGAAAGAATTGGAGATAGTTACCGAGGATATGTGCATACCGAAACCGAGCTTGACGTATTGTTGAGTATGCATAAGGAAAACACCCACAGCTCGTGGGGGACAAGACAAAGTCCATCGTCCCAGAAACCATCTGTACGGTTCATGTGGAAGTCGCAATATGTGCCGTACGATGGTGTTCCGTTTCTCAACAGTGGTAAGTTAGTGGTACATAATGTGTATGCTCAGATTGCGCACAAGTGAGAAGCGATTAACACTAACACCTGATCCGTAAACGTGTTGACGTGACCAGACTATCAATGTTTCTGATTAACCACTATGTTATACACAAGACTCTTCCCTTAAGTTAACGTCAAATTGTCTGGTGTTAGATTAAAATAATAGTCGGGTACATTGCAGCTTAATGTTGCCTACTTTGTTATTTTACTTTGCCTAATGCCAGACACCTTTACTTGTCCAAGGGAAGACATTACTGGTTAAACTCTCACTATTTATAATTTAATATGTAAGTTGTTTACCTGTATGTGTAGGTCGTCGTGCCACGGTAATGGAATGCCAGTACGGTCCTCGCAGGAAAGGCAACAAGGTCAAGGTCGAGTACAATGAAAATGGCAAGCCAGTGAAACGAGCGCATCGTCCGACGTGTCCAGCTCGGATTTACATCAAGCGAGTCCGAAAGTTTCCCGAGTACAAAGTTGACAAAAGTTACGAAGGCACGCCTGGTCTTCGGCTGGCACAAGAACGTGCTCTGACAGCACTGAGAGTCGCTTGCCTTGACAGTAGAGGCGAGGAAAGGTGATATAAACAAACTAACGCATATTCACTTGTCTGTTTGCGGTCGAATTATTTTACTCTGTCTAATGCCAGATGACTTTACCTTTCAGAGAGAGAGTGCTAGCACTCAATGGTTTAAAAAATTAAGTAATAAACTTTTGATGGGTATTTGAGGAACAGCTGCGAAAAATGCAACTTTAGGTCATTGGTGTGCGGTCCTGCACCAGAATCGCAGGACCACATGTTCGATTCCTGTCAGGGGCCTAAAGTTGCATTTTTCGCAGCTGTTCCTGGTTTAGGTTTCATCTACAATACCCATCAAAATATTATCCATCAACAAAATCTTGATATTGACCCTTGCATAATAAATGCACCTGAATCCAACGTAATATTTTCAAAATACTCTCCAGATTTTACATTCAGTTCCCGCTTGAAACAGCTCACGAATACCACCATGAAGACGACGAAATGATCCCGCATCAGGCTCTCTCCCTCCTTCCTACCCAGGTGAACCTCGGCTCATCCCGTCTCGACCCACGGGTGGTCGAGAAAATTAATGAACTCGTTGCTAGAGGGGTGACAGACATTTACCAAGTGAAACACGGTGTCATTAGTTTCATTGAGAAAGACTTGTTCCTGGGTGTGGACGAGCCAACCCCAGCCCGCCATAACAAATCTTTCTTCCCGACCATAACAGATCTGCAGAATCACATCTACCAGGCAATGCTTGCACTAGAATCAGGAACTTTAGAAAGTTTACCACCTGTAAGTTGACAGATTTTTCTAGCCCAGTATTCCTCTCATGATGGCACCAAAATAAGACCTGTTAACCCTTTAAGTGGCAATGCACCCCACTTTAGCACTTTACTCAGTCTAACACTGGACAATTTTACTCGTCAAGTGGAGAGTGCTGCCACTTAATGGGTTAACCAAACAAACTGCCCATGCATCCTCGTACCCCTTTAAGTGGCAATGTGCCTTACTTTATTATTTACTCTGTCTAACGCCAGACAATTTTACTTGTCAAGTGGAGAGTGCTGCCACTCAATGGGTTAATCCATTGAAAGGCAAGGTGCGATGAAGGATTCATCAAGATGAACTATCAGCATAATTTGTCTTGAAAGATTACTGGTATATGTTTATGTGCATACATACCACATCAGATAAAATATGAAGTTTAATTAAAAATATCAGGCACCATTTGTTCCCAGAATATTGCCAGTATAGATTACACTATACTCGCCAGTTCATCTGGATTGTTTGTTTTGTGTTTACATGACGACAGATGGCCTCGTTATGTAAGCATTAACATGTACAGTCTTTCCACTATTTAGCCAGAAAGTCCACTCAAATCGTTCAGCAAGGATGAGCGAAGCAGCAAACGAAAATGTACGGAACCTCGCAGAGTAAGAGCACCAAAAACTCCTTATAGAACAATATGTATACGTACAGATGACCCACTGTACTTGGCGAGGGATTCCAGCTTGCAAGACACACAAGGTAGAGTCTTACTTATTTGGTATAACAAGCTCAAATGTAGGTATCCAGTGCAGGTAATATTCTAAAATAAGCTGCCATATTTGGGATACTATTTTCAGGTACAGAAAAACCACAATAACTTATTGTAGAGTACTACCTAACATTGTAGACCCACATTTGAGATATCTTATTTAGGTAATTGAGACAAATAATGAGAGCTTATTATAAACATTTGTTTTCATTCACCCAGGACAAGTTTATGTAGTGGTTCCATCTGCAAGTGGTTTATTTCCAAACTCTGAATCATTGATTAATACACCATTGGATGGCAACAAAACTACGTCATTGGTGCAAGTTCTTACCGTTCCCGCAAGCAGTGGTTCTGCCTTCCTTGGACAGCAGGTTCGTACTAACCCCACTTATATTGGATAGTAGTTGTGAACTGTCGAGGTAAATTAGATATTATTTTAGCAGTGTAATGTTTGTCAACTTTATACATTTCCCTTTGTAAAGGTGGATGGAACATTGGACTTGACTGGGCAGTTCCTTGCATTGCCAATGGTGAATTGTGAAAGCCAAGAACAAATATCTACCTCACAGGACAGTGGAATTGTCGTACATCATGGTGGGTTGATAATATTTCAACTATAAATGTGGCATCATTATACTGACCTCACGATGTTCTGAAATAGACTTGAAACACTGCTTTCCACAAATAATGTAGTTACATGTCATTAACAATGGATTTTTTTATCTTAGATTCACTGGGAAAAGAACCGATCTCTGTTATACCAGCACCAGTGGAAAATGCTTTGAATAAGCACCATACAATTGACAGCGAGACACCAAATGAGGATGTACCAACAACTGTCACCATGCCAAGCACCATATCACCCATAGCAATACAAAGACTACCATCCACTATTACCATGGCAACATCACACCCTGGTATGACCACATCTACCAATCCTAACATTGGGGTAGCAGTACCATCCAAAAATTATAAGAATTTCCCCACAGCAGCAGTTTTGAATACCAACAGTACAACTATGCCAGATTTAGTGATGACATCATCAGCAGTTCCTATTGCATCAACAGAACTAATTATTCCTAACAAATCTTTGGATTTGGAAGTGACAGCAACATCAGAAATTGTGACATCATCAGAAATTGCTCTGACATCATCCAATTTGACAGCTTCCATTACATCATCAGATACTAGTATGACATCAGATGGGCCAATAGGTATGACACCATCACAAGACTTTCCTATGTCATACGACCCTACCACATCGTCTACAATTTTAATGACATCACCAGATGAGGAGATGGCTCTGAAAACAGAGAAATCTAGTTCTAAAACTATTGCAAACATTGATGGTGACTTCACAAATACACCATTATCACCTGCCAATAGCCAACCAAATCCCTGAAACTATAACAGTTGTTAGTCTTATGTTGTTGTTGTGTTGATACTTACAGAGTGAACAATAACATAACATAGTGTGTTATGTATATATTTTATCATATATTATATATAATTAAATAAACACATGTATAGCAAGTATTTGTGTTTGAATTTTACAGTAATGCCCAAAAATTCTATCTTGACAAGTAAAATTGTATGGTATTAGAGCAAAAAATATGAAAGGTAACATTAGGATGCATGATAGCTTTATGCGCACTAAATAAATTTAAAATTGCAGCAAGTTTTAGCCTGCAAGTTCACGGCAAGTAGGTATATCAGTCATGTATTCGCTCACTACTCTGGATTTTATAAATGAATTCAAAGCCCAATCAAATTGCATTCACAACCCAATGTTGGCTTCTTCAAAACACCCCAAATAAAAAACAAACACAAAAAGGCATAGGAAGCTTTTATTCAATGTCCTTTCAATTATACTCTAATACAATCGTTGGGAAGGACCCATGGTGCTTTTAACATATAAAGCACGGACATTCTGCCAGTTTTTCTTGAGCAGTGAGACAAGGAAGTTGATGGCAAGAAGAGTGTTATTGTATAAATCATCTTCTGACATGTCAACATGTCCAATAGCCACTGCAAGACAAAGCACCTAGAAAAAGATTGAACATAGAAAATAAAGCTTTATACTGCATGTTTTCTACAACTTTACTATTCTGTGTGCTACAATAATATGCTAATATTTATAACAATATAATATTAAAAATAATACCAGTATTAGTATAATTAGTTACGGGAACCACCGAGTATTTTTATAAAATACAAAAGGACAGTAACTCCAAATAACATTTTGTAGCTTTATTGAATCTATGTTTCAACTATATTTTAGCCATCATCAGGACTATACACTAATCTGTCCTGATGATGACTGCAATATAGTTGAAACGTAGATTCAATAAAGCTACAAAATGTTATTTGGAGTTACTGTCCTTTTGTATAGTATAATTAGAGTAGGCTACTATTCTGGTTTATTAAACAGAAACTATCGCTAAACTAATTGTTTATCTGGAGCTTTTCTATTGCAAAATAAAATTGTCTGGTCTTGACCTGAGTAAACTAAATCATTCAACTAGGGCATGTTGTAGCTTCAAAATGACAGACAACTATAAGGTTTACCCTAAGGTTAGTAGATGCAAGTTTGGCTAATATTGTAATCAACTACAATTACCTGTACTGTACAAAATTTCGCCAAAAATATAACATTGGCTTCCCAATTGTTTTAAGACCCTGGGTACAGGTCCGACCAATTCAACCAAACACATAAACCCTTGTGAATGGTGGGATATTATTGGTCTACCAGTTACAAGGGCCTTATCAGCACTCTAAGCCAGCTTGTCAAATGGTTGAGCTGTACAATTGACCACTTCCATAATAGACAAACTTTTGATCTCAACAAGTTTAGACAAAAATTTCATCACAGCTTGAAAGAGCATCACAAAATTAGTAATATTCCAAAGTTTCGTTGCAAAATGTTGTAAAATGCGGATAATATAGCTATGCGAAGTTTGCTGTTTTTCAGTCATTTTGCATTACGCGGGGGAAATTTTGACAGACTAATACCTTTTGGGTCTGTCAATTTCCCGTTTGTAATACAAAAACGGCAAACTTTGCAAGGCTATATTATCTGCATTTTACAACACTTTGCAACAAAACTTTGGAATATTACTAATTTTGTGATGTTCTTTCAAGATGTGATGAAATTTTTGTCTAAACTTGTTGAGATGAAAATTTTGTCTATTATGCAAGTGGTCATTTGTGTTCACACCGGTAACTGATTTGAATTTTAACAGCTAAATAGCCACGAAAGACCTATTTTTAAATGGAACATTTCTAATATAGAAATTGCTCCAAAATAAAACAGTTTCTTAGAGTGCTGTGCCCAAGATTCTGGTTCTTCACTCACCTTCTTCATTTGGAATTTAATTGTTGCCTTAACATCCTGCACCTTCTGCACCATATTCTCCTGGTGGGTGATCATGGTGGGGAACTTGCCAGCTTTGTTGAGACCAGGTCCCAAGAGACGTGGAATCTGCTTGATCAAACTATCTGATGCCAAGAAAGCATCGTACTTCTTCGCTATAGTATGAATACAGATTTGAATTTAATTTCCTTACTTTAAATAACGGTTGTATTGATTGCAGTAGTATTCGTATATAAGTTGCACATTGTATATTCTGGTAAACAAAGAGACACTCTGTGGATGTATTGCCAATACATCGTTATTATTAAATCATAGCTTTTATAGATGCGAATACGGAAAGCATTGGGTTGGTCCAGAAAACATCCATACCTTTCCCACAGAAAAGATTGGAAGTTAAACCCCACCAGGGCTTGAAATAACGTTCCCAAAGTTCCCAATCATGGTGATCGACAGTCATGACTTTCCCTGCTTTTTCATGTTGGAAACCCTGCTTTTCTGCCGATTGTAAGCAATTTCTTTCTCCCCTTTAGATGTCCTCAAACACTGAGAATTTGTTTTAGTATTATCAAAAACAAATTCTCCCCCGGGAATGTGGATGTTTACTGGAACAAACCATTTATAAAATATCAATTTTGATATTTTATCAATCTGTTAAATTTAATTTGCTGATTATGGACATATTTAGTATTGGATAAGATGAAATGTAATCTATGGAACTTAAATGTTGCAATTAATGACGAGAGTCAAGCAACCAACCTAGTTTCTTCACCAACTTTTTGTTCTTGTTCAATTTCTTTAATGATTCTGCATCCATAAATGGTATGTCATTTGCCTTAGCCTCGTCACAATGCGACGCGTCACCAAGAATGCAGACGCTCATTTTGGGCCGTGGGATATGTTTCAATCTAGGGATAGTTAAACATTTTCATTGGCATACCATGCATCGATAACCAAGATACTTTCCACTAAGGTGAGGGTTAAGATTTTCAAGCGAGAAAATTGTTTTAGAGGAGGTGATGTTCAGGGGGAGAAAGGGTAAGGGGGGGAGGTGGTACAGGGGGGAGGGTACATCTCCCAGACTGCAAAGTTAACCATAGTCTATGATGCATAGACTATGGTTAATTTATATACCTAGAAATTAACTTTCAAAAACTTATTGATGTACTATTATAAGCTACTAGAACTCCTCAATCCCCATGTGGTTAAAAAAGTCAAACAAAAACTTACTTCACTGTGCCCGAAAAACGTTTGTCCTTCTGCGGGTCATAATTCTTCAGACTCACTTGTAGCTCAACTGTTTCAAGAAATCCACGTTTCTTGTCCTTGGAGTGTTGCAAGACAGCACGTAGACCTTCGGTCAAACCTTCACGATTTATTTTACTGCAAGAAAAGGCACATTACACGTACAGTATGTGGCCCAGTTTCGGGTCAGTACCAGTAGCGGGTCAATAGAAATTTGATTTCATTTTTTTCCGCCGAGATAAAAAGCGACGCGAAATGAAATATATAGATATAATGGTGAACCTTTCCTTTTTTGGATGATAGTTTTCGCAGGCTTTTTAGTTGAACTGTATTCAAAGAAGAATCCCTTTTGTCCGGGTATGTTTATATTCTTTTACTAAAATTTGTTCATTTCACTGCGCAGTAAAACTAACTAATAACAATAAATCGTATTATTGATATGTAATTCTCCATGTAACTGCCCAATTTTGTCCTGACGATAGATTATTGCCGAGAATATATAAATATGAAATGGCAATTCAATTATTCAGAATTTCAGAGATATATTCTGGTCCCACAAATTACGTTTTAGTTTGGCTTTGTGGACCAGTTTCGGGTCAGCTATGTTTCAACCTTTGAAAGTGGAAGCACTGCTTAGAACCATTGAACTATAAATAAACTGGAAGGCTAACTCAGGGGGGGGAATTGAAGCCAGTGCATTTTAGTTTTTCTGAGTTATGAGCAGAAATACTCAACACTGAACGTTGGGCTATATATCAAATTGAAGCTATTGAAAAACGCTATTTGGTGTAGAAATTTCAAGACTTTAGCTAAAAGGGAAATATCAAAATATTACAAACATAATTACCGATAATTTGCCGTTTTGCAGTTGTTTTTGTATTTTTAAAATATTTTTCTTTTCGCTGAAGTCGTGAAATTTCCACACCAAATAGAAATTTTCAATAGCTTCAATTTGATATATAGCACGACGTTTGGGGTCAAGTATTTCTGCTCATAACTCAGAAAAACTATTTTGGCTTCATCAAATCATAGGCCTTCATCATAGCAGTTAGCCTTCCAGTTTATTTATAGTTCAATGCTTAGAACGCACTCCGCAAAAACTGTGTAGAAGAGGTAGTTTCAAGCTGGAAATATCATGTCTAAACCTTGTCAAAACCTCACAAAAAATTGTTAATAACTTAAGACATGTTGAAACTATACAAAATGATCGAAAATTGCCGTAAAACAAACACTTTTATACAATGGGCTATTCCATTTAATATCCGTACCCCCCCTGTCGAGGATACATGTTTTTCATTGTCATACCCCTGAAGAATTCCAAACTCAAAACTGTATACCCCTGAAGAATTCCAAAATTCCAAGCTCAAAATTCTTTACCCCTGAAGAATTCCAAGCTCAAAACCTTTTACCCCTGAAGAATTCCAAAATTCCAAGCTCAAAACCCTTTACCCCTGAAGAATTCCAAGCTCAAAACCTTTCACCCCTGAAGAATTCCAAGCTCAAAACCCTTCACCCCTAAAGAATTCCAAGCTCAAAACCCTTTACCCCTGAAGAATTTCAAGCTCAAAACCTTTTACCCCTGAAGAATTCCAAGCTCAAAACCCTTCACCCCTGAAGAATTCCAAGCTCTGAAAAATTTCAATCTCAAACCTCTATACCCCTGAAGAATTCCAAGCTCAAAACCCTTTACCCCTGAAGAATTCCAAACTCAAAACCATTTACCCCTGAAGAATTCCAACCTCAAAACACTTTACCCCTGAAGAATTCCAACCTCAAAACACTTTACCCCTGAAGAATTCCAAGCTCAAAACCTTTACCCCTGAAGAATTCCAGGGATCCTCGACAGGGGGGTACGGATATTAAATGGAATAGCCCAATAAACAAAGAAACTTGAAGTGACCCGATACTGGTGCAGTTGACCCGATACTGGGCACCTAAAATGATTCTTAAAAATATAAATAATTCTAAAAGTGAAAGGTAAGAAAAGTCAATCTTTTGAAATATTGTTAAGAAACACCTTTTCTATTCTCAAGTGAGCATTTGAAAACCGTACCTTTCCTGAAAAGGAAGATATAGCAGTTCAAACCTGAAATGACCCGAAACTGGGCCACATACTGTATCGCTCCCGAACACCAATTTTGTAATCAAAACTTTTTCACAATTTCAAAGTGTTTAGAGGAATTTCTTTTCATATAATGAAAGATCAGTACTTTATTTATCAAGGTATACGGTGTATTTGTTTGGATGGATAAAATTCAAGCTAGATTTTTAGAGATTGTTTTCTGACTCTTACCTCATTTTGCCGAATTCAAACGAGAGAAAGGAAAGAACGCGCAAAGATTTCGGTAGACTGGTAACCACTGTGTGTTTCCACTTTATCTAAAGCGAAGCCTTGAAAAAAGCATCTGGGAGGGGGTAGGGGACAAGGAGAGGGGCAGCGTGGGGAACAAGGAGGGGGCAGGGGACAAGGAAGGGGGCAGGGGATAAGAAGGGAGATTGCATTGAGGTAGGGGTAATATGACTGTTTTACAACATATCATCAACTTAAAGTTTGGAGGGGCATTCATCCCAAAACTTTCAATTCATATTATAGATTTATGAGATTGCATATATGGTCTACACTTGCATTGTTAAAAACAATATAAATATCAAATTTCACTCTGTTCTTAGACTTACTTCACATTAATTTCAATCAGAATAAATTATCATAGTCAATGTTTAATTAAAATGTCCTTTGCTTATAGCTGATTACCTTTATTATCAATTTATATTATAAACACGGCATCAATTTGCACTTTTAAAATGTCTTCGACAGTATAACACAACTCTGTTGACCATTTGCCAATTATGTTTACATCATTATGTGTAATGCATCGTTTGCATATAATTAGTTATCTTTATCGTCCACATTCACAGTCAGTCGTTCCTCAGCTAAGCTCCCTTGGCGACTCCAAACTTCATCGTCCAAATCCAACTCTATCTCCTGATCTTCGTAGTCATGATGCGATCTCTCCAATCTCTCTTTCACCTCCAGACTCTCTTCCTCGGCCAGTTTCTGCTGCCCCGCCTTGAATGCACGCACTACACGGCTATCCACGCTTCGCAAATATCTATATCCAATATACAGATATGTCAAACTGCATGCAAATCCAACCAGACTTTTACCAAGTTCGTCCTTTGGTAGTCCCACATGTAGTACAGACCACGACAATATAGAGCTCAGATTAAACACTGTACTGCCGAATAAACTATACAGAAGTCTTTCTTTGGTCGGGTATAAGCTGAAACTCGGTCGGTGATAAATATAAACCGCAGCCCCGACGTGGGAAAGTGCAAAACAAGAATTTGTGAAAACACGACTTGCATCTGTTGTTAAAAGCTGTTGCACAACCGGTAAATGTAACGCGTTTGTGGACAAGGTAAGGTAACCAAACACGCCACCATATGGCAAGTATTTAGGCCATATTTGATTGAATTGATTCAAAATTGCGTTAAACTTTTCATTATTTATATTCGAGTTGGGTTTTTCATCCGCCATTTTGAAAATATACGACCGGGGTATTTCCACCGGAGCCTTTACCCAGAGTCTTTTTCCGGGGATTCTTTAAGTTCCGGTAAAGATAATCTTATCCTCTCGATTCCCAGTTATCCTCCCTTAATGCCGAGGTATTGTGTTTATCACCGAAGCGCGAAGGCCGAGGGTGTTTGTACTTTGTATTCTCGTCATAAGATCTAGAAGTTAGTTATTTTTTTAAAATAATGCCAAACGAGGAAAAGTCTTCGATTAAAAATATGTAAAAATATTTTATTCATAATGTAATAAATGTATATATCGCTAATTTATATATATGTATATATATTATAATTATTAAATTAATCTTAGAAATCATATTTTGTGCAATAAATTAAGCGTATTATATCTCACTAATCATGTCTATTTTGTCATTTAAATTTTCTCGTGTTTGTATACGAAATATTTAATGTACATAATATCGTATTATATAGCGTAATACGATATATTTTTCTACAAAATTATATATTATGTTTTATATATTAATTGAAAATTGACTTTATACAAGATATTAAATTGATGTGACCTTATTTATGTCTGCAGAGATTTCAAGATTTCCACACAAGCTTGATAGCAAAACAAATATTGATCCTACAAATTCGGAAAAAATATTTATAATAATGCCAGTCATCGGTTCCACGTTGTTCTAGAACTCTAAACTAAGCTAATTTTATTTTTTCTGGATAGCTCTATCAGTTCTAAACTGTTCTTCCTGGAGGTATGAGCATCTCTTATTGATCCAGTGTTATTACAGAAGCAGAGGCGCCGGAATATCGATAATTGGGGGGGGGACAGATATTCATATATTTGTGTGCTGCTCAATTAATTTCTTTTGAAATCGATTGTTTTTACAGTCTGTGAACACGAATATATGAATATCTGCATGAATTATCGATATTCCGGCGCCTCTG